GGGGTGGGGTGGGGAGGAGGCAAACTTTATATGCCAGCCTGTAATAAAGCCCCTCTCTTTGTCCCTTTCCAAATCACCTTGTTGCCTTATCTCTGTTTTTTTTCCCCCTCTGTCTCTGTCTCTCTGCATCTATCTTCACTTCTTTCTCTTTATCTCTCTCTTTTTCTTTCTGTCTCTCTCTTTGTATCTTTCTCATTCTCTCTGTATCCCCCTCTGTCTTTTTCTTTCATTCTCTCTATTGTTATGTGTGTTTATCTCTGTGATTCTCTGTCTCTCTCTTCTCTCTCTGTCTCTACTGTCTCTCTGTCTTTCTTTGTCTCTCTCTCTCTCTCTCTCTCTCAGTTCCTTTTGGGTGTCTATCTCTTTCTATTTTGGTCTTTTTCTGTGTGTACGTGTCCATGTCACCCTCTCCATCTGCTGCTTCCCTCCCAGGCTTGCCACCATCCCTGGCTTTCTGCAGCTGTGAACGGCTCAGCGGGGCAGGTGCCCCAGAGGCAGCTTCCGGAGGTGCTGGGCGGGGCCTGGGAACCACCTCAAGGGGTCGGGCTGCCCCTGCTAACTGTCATTGTCACTGCCTTTGTCTTGCTGGCAGTCTGTATCGTGGTGGCAGTCCACTTTGGGCCAAGGCTACACAAGGGCCATGCCACTCTCGCCACAGAGCCACCATCCCCAAAGCCAGAGGGCGGCATCTCTCTCACCCACTGGCGAGTGCTGGGCCGTCAGGACAGTCACGAAGATGCCCAGCAGGAACCTCCTGGCTCTGACTCCTGCCCTGTGCCAGATGGGCCCAGGTTCAGCATTGATGAAGTCACATTTCTGTAGGAGGGAGACTTTGGAAAGTTGGCCTGACCTGGCTCAGAACAAGAAACTGGACAGAGAATTAGGGCAAAAGCAAATTGGGGCCTGGGCATCAGTGCTTTGGAAGGGCACACATGGACTTACCTGGAGCTGCCCTCTCAGCAGAGTATTTATACAGAAAGCCCTGTTGTGGACCAAAGAAATCAAAGAAGCTTGAATGGTGCTGTGAGCATTCCCAGGGCCCAAGTTGCCCTTACAAACTTACCCCCTCCTCTTCAGGGACCACCAGAACACTGAACCTCCCTCTCTGATTTCCTACTCCCTCCTCCACTCCTCATCTCCTCCCCTTTTGGTGTCAAAGTGAGTCTAGCTTGGAAGATTCCACCACCCACCCCACCCCTGTGCAGGGATGTCAGAGGCTCCTGGTAGAGGACCCATCCCCACAGCCTGTGAGGGCCAGCCAGGGAGAGCCAAGGCAAAGAACCCAGGGGTCTGCCTTCTCTGAGACTCAGGAAAGGAAGGAAAATCTGTTACCCTTTACCTTTGGCTGTCAGGGCCCAGGTCTTGCCAACAACTTCCAAGGCCCTTAAAAGCCCCAAGCACCAATCATAGCTCCCCAAATTGTCTTTGAATTGCCCCCACTATCTTGGAGCAAGACTCTATCTTGCCTTCCCAGGATGGGATAGAGGAAACTGGGGGGGGCTCTCAATACCTCCCACTTTCTGTGCACATTGGCCTGTTAGAACTAGCCTAGCATTTACCCCAGGACATTTCCCAGATCCAGAATCTTCCAGCTGGTGGGAAAACAGGAAAGGAAAAGGAGCTCCATGGAGGTTGTCTGGGAAGAGGAAGGGGTGGGGATCCCTGCAGGGGGCGGGACATGGAGGCTGGGAAGATGCAGGAGGCCAGAAAGGCAGAACAGAGCCTCCCAGGGGCTCTCTGGAAATGTACCCCTTTCCCTGACACCTTTGAGCCTCACTTATGTGCAGTCAAGAACAGGCAGACAGACATTTATGGAGTAACTTCTGGGTGCTTTACTCTGGGGAACACCTCAGGGCAACAAGTCAACCCTGGGGACTGTCCTCGGTGAGACCCCAGCCCAGTCAAGGACTCTGAGAAATAACAGAAGATGAAGAGGAACAGAGACGGGGATTGTAATGTGTGCAGAGGACAGGCTTGCCTCCACTGAGACTGGTAAGAGGCAGCTCTAATGTTAATAGTTGCTCCTTCTTGTGGGCCCACTATGTGCTGGACTCCAGGCTCATCCATGGACCTACAGATATTATACTGTTTACTCCTCATAACAGCCCTGGGAGGAGGAGCCACTGTTATCCCCATTTACAGCTGGGGATATCAAGACACCCAGGAGGACACAAGTACTAAGTGGTGGAATCAGGGTTTGAACCTGGGGCCATCAGACTCCATAGTCTGAGCACCATGTTGGGGGCCGGATGGGGAGGGAAAGGGTATGCTGGGGATACCCTTAATTCTGGGCTGGTTTTTAGGTGTTGGAATGACTGATGTGAAGTTGGGGGATCCTCAGGGGCAGAATGGCTGGCACAGTGCGGGAGGAGAGGAGACTGTTTCCCCCTTCACTTCCTTGGCTCTCTCTTTACTCTCTGCCATCCTTGGGAGCAGTGCGTTGCTTCTGGCCAACGTGTATCTGTGTGTGGAGTTTTTTCCCACAGTAATACTGTACTCAGAAATTCTTAACTGAGCATTTGCGATAAAAACAAAGGTGGGAGGGAGGGAATAAGTCTTGGGCGGAATGGATGGAAGTGGCAGAAATGGGCTGTCCGGCCTCCCAGATGGGGGCAATTTTGCCACCACAGTGTCATTGCAATGGCTCAGGTCTAACAGTGATGGCACAAAGTATGGCAGGTGGCCAGCTGTGTTGTCCAAGGTCCCCAGCGTATATCCCATCACCTCACACAAACCCTCTTCCCCCCGTTATCCATGGGACTCTCATCCGGAGACATTTGGCCCCTGCTTCTTTGAGCAGCCCCTTGCCCAGGACACATGTGTGTAACCATCATGGCATCTGTGTGCTGCCTCAGGCCCCTCCCTGTCCCCCAAGCCTCCCACTGGAGACAAGGGCACTGAAAGGGCAGGTGGAGCAGGGGTGCTGCCCAGCTCTATACCCTCAGCCCAGCTGGTGGGCTCTGTCTACACTGAAATGATAGCTACCACCCTATGGCCCTGTACTAGGATGAGGAGGGGTGTAAGGAAATGTGTCTGTGCAAGCAGATTTGGACATTGCAGATAATAATGGCCAACTGCCTGTACCAGTCAGAGTCTGGCCAGAAAAAGATGGCATACTCAAATAATCTGAGGAGTGTTTAAAAAGGGGACTACTTAGGGACTTCGCTGGTGGTTCAGTGGTTAAGACTCCAAGCTTCCACTGCAGGGGGTGCGGGTTCAATCCCTGGTCAGGGAACTAAGATCCCAAATGCTGCATGGTGTGGCCAAAAAATTAAAAAAATAAAAATAAAAAGGGGACAATTTAGAAAGGGCAGGTGTAAGGAAATTACGAGTGAGAGTGAGTGCTCCAGAGTGAGCATCAGTGAGGCTCCAATACCACTGCCAGGACTGAAGGGGCATGAGGAGGAAGTTAATGAGACCTGGAGATAGACAGGGTTACTGAAAGGGTCCTTTAGGTCTAGAGAGAGCCCACAGTGACCTTGATACTGCAGGGACAGACCTGGGGGAATAGATACCCCAAGCTCACCCTTCCCTTCCCCTCCTTCTCCCACTGGGGCTTCCCATTGACTGAATGTGACCAGAAGCCAGAGGGCAAGGGAGCCTATTGAAACCATCCCACGACAGAGGAGAGGTAGAGAGTAGGTCTGAGGGTCCAACGGAAGACACCTGGAAGATCCTTTAAGTTTACCTGGCATTTAGAGTTTACAAAAACCCCATACAGCCATAGTCCTCACAAAAACTACCCTGTGAGGTAGGTAGGGCAATGATTATAATCCCATTTCATAGATGAGGACACTGAGGCTCAGAGAGGTGAAACAACTTGCCCAAGGTCATAGGATTCATCTTGAGATGTCAAACTCAGGGACCTTCTCTGAGAGGCCCTCTATGGGAGGAAATGGTCCTGCTAGGCCTCTAGTTGCTGAAGAAAGAAATCCTCCAATCCAGAGGCTTGGGGATGGCCAGGGGCTCAGGGAAGGTGACCCTGGGCCTCAGAAGACATCCGAGCGGAGCGGAAGAGGCTGTTCCATGCCACTGATGAGGAGCTCAGGCTCTTGGGACAGTGTGGAGGAAACGGGCATCACCGAGGTCCCCAGGCTGCCCATGGTAACCTCACTTTCCTCCTGCCGAAGGTGCTGGAGAATCTCCTGTGACAAGGAGAAGCTGCTTCCCTCTGCCGGTTCTGGAACGAGGGTGGGGGTGGGGAGTGGGGTGAGGGCCTCACACATTCCCACTCTAGCACACCCAGAGGACTTGCTGGGTGAATCCTCCAACCCTCCCTCTCCCCCACCTCCCTGCACCTCCTCCCCACTCCTAGCCACTGGAGCTAGAGTTTCATGAAATCCTAGAGCTAGCAGTGGTTTTAGAGACAAGAGAATTCCACCCTCTTTCTTTTAGAGATGATACTCAGAGAGGGGCAGATACCTGCCTAAGGTCACAGAGCAAGGGAGTGACACGGCTGAGGCTGCAGCCCTGGTCTCTTGGCTCCTGGCCTGGGGCTATCTGCTTCTTCTAGCATCCCTAGATGAAGTGAGAGGCCCCTAGAGCCCACCTCTTCACACTCCACCCGGGACCCATAGCCAAAGACCTCAGAATGCAATCAGGTATCCCGCGGTGGGGAGATGGGACCTCTCCTCTTCCTTCCAGGGGAGGAAGGGGCAGGGCTTGAATGCCCTGACCACTCGGGAAGACCCGGGCATGGTGCTGCCATATCTCCTGCTGACCCCCTGGGAGACGCCTGGGGCCCCCAGCTTTTTTGCCCTTAAGCCTATCAACCCCTCACCCTGGTAGACAATGAGGTGGCAGTTGTTCTGAGACTCAGGGGCAGCTGCCAGAATGTCTTCAAGTGTCCGGCAGAAGAGTTTGGCCTGCTCAAGCCGGTCCTCCCGGCTAAAGCCAGCTCGGCCATCCTGTGACATGGCAAACAGGGTCTGCAAGGGGGTGGCATATTCCAGGATACAGATGCCTGCCTGGAGGAGGTAAAAGGAAGACCAGACTCAACCAAGGGCCAGGCAGACAGACGCTGGACCCCAGTGCCACTGCTCAATCTGTAGGGATGGAGTCAGGGGAGGGGGCCACCTGATGGGGTCTATACTGTCTGCCTTTGCCTCTGACACCCCACTCCTAAATCAGGGCCAGGGCTGTGTTAAATTTACCCTTCCCAGATCCTCCTCCTAAGATTCTCAGGGCAAGGCCCACTGAGCTAGGCTGTCAACTGCTCCAGCTGGCAGTCAAGTCTGGGGATGGGGCTCTGGGGTTCAGCTTTGGCTGGGTTCCCCATAGCCCACGTGAAATCCTTCACACATTCTCACGGCCTTCATCTAGGGCAGCTTTATGGTCAAGAGCATGGTATACTCAACGTGAAATTGTCCACTTTCTCTCTGGTTCTCTGAGTCTCGGTTTCCTCTTCTGTAAAGTAGGGGCTATAACAGTCCCTACCCCACAGGGTGGTGGTGAGGATGCAGTGAGGTAGTCAGATGAAGCACCTGGAATAGCATCTGGCATGCAGTAAGGGCTCAATTAATGTTACTTGTCAGTTTCATCATTCAGAGCTCAATTTTGCCCAGCCCTGGGACCAATTGGAGAAACTGAGGCTCAGAGAAGGGCAGTGAATTTTTATCAGGGCTTGGCCAGGGCCCAGAGTTCTGGGTCTCTAGGCCTGACCCCTCCCCAGCCTTCCCACTTCCCTGCACACTCACTGGCTGCCCATTCTCCAGAAGCTCGTAGATGCTGTTGGTGTAAACACGGCCCTTGATGCCAGCACGGTCAGCACTTTGCTGGGGCAGCTTGTGTAGGAAGCGAATGTTAGCGTCAGCCACGCTCAGGTCGTCAGGCACCCCACAGTCCAACGGGAAGAGGATGTGCAGCCGGTGGCTTCCTGCGCCCCGTAGCACATTGTTGTGGAACTGATTGTAAATTTGGATCCGGGCCTGGAGCCCTGGGGTGGAGAGGCCCAAGAAGTCATTTCCACCAACTGTGTCTCCCACCCAACTCAGGACAGAGACCCACATCATTGTTCCCCTCAATGTGTGGGTGCAAGAGAACCGAGGGGCCAGTCCACTCACATTGCCTGGGAGGCCAGGAGGGGAAGAGCATGTGAGCATCCTCCCCACCCCTCCACCTACTCCCACCACCCCTTTCTCTCCCTCACTTGACCTTTGTCCAGATTTCTGTCAGCCCCACTCCTTCCCACCACAGCTTTCAGGGCTCTGAGAGGCAGGAAGAGTCCTGGGAGGTGACATGCCAGCAGGCCCACGTGCACTGAGCCAGGCCTCTAGAGGAAGCCCTGGTGTCAAGGGAAGGCAGCCATGAGACAGGGGAGAACCATAGCCTTGACCAGCAAGTCAGAGGAATGAGACACGACTCGTGGGCTCCCAGTGGGCTAGTCAAGGGTCCAGGCTCTGGACAGGCCTGGGTTCAAATCCTGTCTCCTCCTCTAACTAAGCTGTGTGACTTTGGACAAGTCACTTTATCTCTCAGAATAGCTGTGAAAACAGGGGTGATGATTATCCCTTCCTCACAGGGTGTAAATTAAAAGAGAAAGTGCGCATGAAGGGCATACAGCATGCAGCAAATTTTTATTGAAAGAATTCATGGGTGACTTGAGACAAGTCACTTAATGGATCTAAGCTCCAAATTTCTTCCTGTCAACCAGGCATAATAATAACAGCCTTCGTGCCTACAAGATTGCTTTGGGAAACAAATGGTTTGTTAGACATGAAAATGCTTTGAAAATATAGTGAGTTCTGGAAACACAGGTTGTGTGTCTTACTGTCTGTCCTGTATATCTGGAAATGGGGGCAGAGAGGATGGCTCACCTGGCAGGATCAGCCGCAGGTACCCAATATAATATGACCAGGCCAGCCCATGAGCCACATTGAAGTTCCTTTTTTCACAGATTGCAGAGATCTCTGCTGGGGCCAGGCCCTGTGGACAGCAGGGTGGGGCTGGGGGGCCTCCATGAAGAACAACATGAACCTTCCTCCTCCTCCCCCCAAGATTACCCAACCTGCTGCCATTTGGCTCCGTTCTCTGCCACTGCCGAACCCAGACCATTATAGGCTCCATCCGAGGACCAGCCTCTAAACTAGTCCCACTCCCAGTACTAAGCTCAGAGCAGGTCACATGTGCCACGTCTCCTCTTGAACAGACCCTTCACCTCTCTTTGTGTCGTACCTGGAGGCCCAGGAGGATGTTAAGTGCCTGTGAGAGGCCCAGGAGAGCAAGCATCCAAGTGAAGGGCAGGCCAGCCACGTTTGGGAGGGAGCAATAGAAATAGCAGGACAGCAGCAGCAGGGCCCCACGGTGCATGGGGCAGCCCAGGCAGGCCCGCACAGCCTTCCAGTAGCTGCCTTGATACCTGCAAGTGACAGCCAAGCTCCAGACCCCAGCCCAGCTCAGCCAGAGAGATTCAAGGAGGGGCAGGGCTGGGGGTCAAGGGACTGAGACATGTTCGGTGCCTAATCACCATGGGTACTGCAGGGAGTCACCTGGAGTGGACGTGGCACAGCTCCTCGGCCAGACTGCAGACCCCCTTGATCAGCACTCCCATCTGCTGGGAGGCCAGGTGGAGCACCAGCCACTGGAGAGTGTAGTCTGGCAGCTCCCCCAGCCCCCAAAGGGCCACCAGGCAGGCACCTAGCAGGACCAAGGCTGCTTTCTGGGCCCTGTGACCCCTGGGCCGTGGGATGGATGGATGCAGACTAGAGTGGGGCATCTGTGGATATCAAGAAATCCATGGTTGTGTTCCTCTCACTCTCCTGTTGCTCTGGGACTGAGGCTCTGGCTGGGCACTTGCCCCAGCTCTATGTTTCCCTGGGGCCCAGCCATACCCAGAGGCTGCTCTTGGAGACACCTCGAGGGGACAGGCTGGGCATACAGCATCCCAGAGCTCCGATCCAAGAGAGATTTGTTGAAATCAGAGCAGGTGGAGAAAGAAATGCATGCGCTCCACATACACACCCCACCCAAGCCCAGTGAGACCACAGTTGTGGCAAAGAAAGAAGATAGCGACTACCCCAGACCTAGACCTGAAAGTGTCCCGTGAGGTACCACCCAACTGGGGACCCTTGGGGACCGGGGCTTCTCTCTCCCCACAATCCACCCCAAGAAGGACCTTAGTCAGCAAAGCTGAAAACTACAGTTCAGAGGGTAGGGGCAGGGCAGCCAGAAGGTTGCCACCCACCTCTGCAGCTTCTGCAGGGGCCTCAGCCTTGGAACTCAGGCTGGGCTGCTCCTGATCTTACCTTCTGCCCCCCAGATGGCAGCTTGTTTCTGGAAGGCAACAAGGAGAGAAGGCCCGGCAAAAGGGCTCCCAGCAACCGAGGACGGCCTCTCAGGGTGCAGCCTGAAAACGAAAGGTTAAAAACAATGGAAGCTTCCTCCACAGCACTCCAGCCCTGGCATCTCACCAAACCACAGCTGCACTGGGCTGCACTGGGGAGGTTATTTCCTGCCGCCCAAGGAGGGAGGAAGAGCCTTCCCACCAAGGCCCCGGTGAGCCACATCCCAGTATTGGGGTGAGGGAGAAAGCTTGAGAAGGCCCCCGTTCCACTGCCCATCCCCCAGACCGAGGGTGTTCAGAAACTCCCTCAAACTCCCTGCAGTCACAGACCTGAACGGGCTGCCCCTCAAGCACCCACAATCAAGCCCACTCTACCAACACCCACATGGCACTTCACACACCCAGCCAAGCACACACACTACACCATGCTGCCCTACCTGCTTGTTTTATTCTGATTTCCAGTTGCAGATCCTCTTTTTCGGAAGACTGTGATATCAGGCCAGAGGCGGGGAAAATGAAGAGTTATTTCCTGTAACGACAGCCTTGTAGTAAAAAGCTTAGTGGGAGCAGAAGCCTTGCAGAAGAGTGGGGTTTTGGCTCTCCACAGGAAGTGGCAACGCCTGTGACTTCTCAGAGAGAATCTGGTGCTTCCAGCCAAAAAGGCAGTCGCGTGAATAATAATAATAGTAATAATAATAAAGTACTCACTGTGCTCCAGACATTATGCCAAGCGTTACATAAATTGTTTCACTTAATCCCCTCAGCCACCCTATCAGGAAGGTATAATACTAACCTCATGGACAATCTGAGGCTCAGTGAGGTGAATTAACTTGCCCCAGTCCCCTGGCTAGTAAAGGAGGGAGTGGTGACGTGAACCAGGTAGGTGGCTCCAAAACCCTGCTGGCTCTGTGCCTTGATTTCCCAGAAAGGGGTGGAAGATGCCAGGACCAAGTTTCATGATGCGTTTTCCCTTGGGATGGGGAGTGTCTCTGGCTGCTTCCTGGTAAACTGGTGAGCTGATTGGATTTGAGGAGGGGGCGCCCAGGAGTGGGATTGGGGTGGCAGCAGTCCATATGTCCCCAGGCCAGAGGGTCCTTGCCTAGACCCTTCCCCACATCCCAAACAGACACAAGAAGACACACCACATTCATAGGTGCCATTGGCCTCTCAGGAGCAAGGAGGCTTCCAGAAAACTCTCTCATTTTTTAGAATAATTTTCTAAGAATGGAGAGAATTTGAATTCACTGTACTTTCTGTCTCCTACAAGAGCTCACAAGGGGGCCCCCTGCAGTGGGCAAGGGCTCCAGTGCTTCAGAACCAAAGAAAGTCAAGGTTGCCAAACAAAAGGCCTGAGCAGAGTCCTCCCAGAGTGAACAGTCCACAGCTGCCCCAAAGTCTCCCTGTGCCAAGTAACCTTGGGCTTCCAGTATCCTGCCCAGCGGCCAGCACCACCTCCCCTGGGTGATACCACTGCTGTCAGCTCCACCCTTCCACCCCTGAACATGTGCTTCCTCTCTGCCCCCTTCTCCTGGAGGTTGGTTCTCTATTTTATAGGCCAGATTTGCACTATGCATTAGAAGCCTTAAAATGCACACAGAATCGTAGACCTTGCAATTCACTTCTGGGAATCATTCATCAAAAAATAATGAGACAAGGGCACAAAGATACCAGTTTTTCAGATGTTTGTGCCAGTGTTGTTTATACCAGAGAAAAACTAAAAACTATCTAAATGTCCAACAATAGGGGACTGATTAACAAAACCGTGGTTCATCTTATAATAGAATGTTAGGTAGCCACTAAAATGATGATGTAATTTTGTATGTTGACTCTTAAATACGTTTAGTATATTGTTTCTTATTGGAAAAAAGCAGAGTACAAAACAGTATAATTGCATTTTAAGAAATACACATTGCACGAGAAAAGGTCTGGAAGGCTACATGATATATGAAAAATGCTAACAATGATTACCCTGTGTGGTGGGAATGTGAGTGATTTTTAGTATAATTTTCCCTTTTTGCTCATTATGTTTTTTAAGGTTTCTTTTCCTGACATTGAACATGTATTAGTTGTTTGATGCTTGGAGTATGCTGTAAAGAGAAAAAATCCCAACATTGTCTTGGGGCCTCCTTCCACCCCACTCTGTCCTCACTGCCCTTTGCTGCCTGCTGCTGCTCTGGGCTCTTTTTCCTGAGTTTGAACCTGCTCTGAGGAAAGCCTTGCAGGAGACATGAGGGCCAGCTCATTCAGGAAGAGTAAGATGTGGCCTGGCTGAGGGGAATGAGGAATGATGGGGAAGAGGGAGGCAGGGAGGCCATCCGGAGTGTGGAGTTGGGAGCCAAGTCTGACTGGAGAGAAGGCTGCTGAGGCAGCCAAGGCCCCAACGTCTGGGCCCTCAAATAGCAGCCCGGGAGTTTCCACATACCATGCAGTCCACACAGTTGTGTCCTGACTTCCTGCTGTGTGTGTCAGGGAATGTGCTAGGCATGAGACATGCCTGTGAACGTGTCAGGCCAGAACCCTGTTGTCACAACACCTATAGCTGGGCAGGGGCAATGGGCCTTGCATAACTGTGCAAGTCAGTACGAGTCACGGCAGATATGGTGAGGGCTTTGAAGAATGCGTTCCTGTTGCTGCTCTGAGGGGAACTTGGAAAATCCCAAGTCCAGATTTCCCTGAAGGAGTGCCATTTATGCTGAGTTTGGAGGACCAAGAGAGAGATGTGGGGGAGGAGTGAGAGTCTAGAACATTCATAAAAAGCAGAACAGCCTTCCCCCTGGGGTGGGAAGGAGTTTGGCCTGAGGAGAAACAGAAATGGCTGGTGTGGCGGGAGCATGTAAGCATGTTAGGGGTCTGCGTTATTTTCTTAGGGCTGCTATAACAAAGTACCACAAACTTGGTGGTGTAATACAACAGAAATTTATTCTCACACAGTTCTGGAGGCTAGAAGTCTGAAATCATGGTGTTAATAGGGCCATGCTTCCTCTGATGCCTCTAGAGGAGGACCTCTCTTTGCCTCTTTCACTTTCTGGCAGCCCGAGGTGTTCCTTGGTTTGCAGCTGTAGCACCTCAGCCTCTGCCTCCATCATCACAGGGTGACCTTCTCCCTGTGCGTCTCTGTCTTCACATGGCATTTCCTCTTCTTATAAGGATACCAGCCATTGTCCCATTGGATTAGGGCCCACCCTAATGACCTCATCTTAATTCAATTGTACCTGCAAAGACACTGTCTCCAAATAAGGTCACATTCCCAGGTACTAGGGAGTTAGGACTTCAGCATATCTTTTTGGGGGGACACAGTTCAACCCATAACAAGGTCAGTGATGTAAGAAAGGGTACTGGAGAGTTGGTTGGAGCCTTGTGGGCTGTGGCCAGAGCCTCAGGGCATGGGGAGTGTCACAACGACTGCGCGGATGAGATTGTTCTCATCAGCTGTGCTGATGGCCAGGGACCTTGAAGCCCTTCCAGACTGGCCATCTGGCACCCAAGGAGGAAGCCGAGGACCACAGAGGGAAGTTAGGTCTCAGTTCCAGACTGCCCAGCTCACAGGCTGCTGCCCTCGTGTCAGTGTTGCTGAGTGCCAGCACTCGGCTCCACAGCCTGCTCACTCCTGGGGCCTCCCCCCATCACGTCCTGGTAGTTGCGTCTTCCCTCCAGACACCCCAGAAGTGCTGGTCTGGGATGGCTTTCATTTCCATTGCCAGCCTAGTTACAGTTCCCACGTGTCTTCCCTGAAACTTGTCATCAGTGTTCCTGGGAGAGAAGAAAACACTAAGCACTCATTCAGTGGACGCTGGTTCTGGGACACAGCACGAGTGGGATAAGGAGGCCTCTGGCTTCTAAGGAGCCACTCTTTTGCCCATGCAATGCCTTTCATGATTAAAAGTCCCTGATATTTGTGTGTAAATGTTCCTGAATCCTGCTATAGCGCAGGGACATTGGGAGGATTTTGATATCAGCTGACCATGGTACACCTGGGATCTTGCCTCTGCCTCTCCTTGCTGTGTGACCTTGGCCCAGTTATTTAACTTCTTTGAGAGTTAGTTTCCTCATACCTAAAGTGAGGGTGGTAATACCTTTTTTCTCATAAAATTGTCCTGAGAATGAAAAGAAATAATGTGTTTGTAGGCCTGACTTGTAAGTGCTCAGTAATTGTTAACTCTAATCACCACCACCACCATCATCATCATCACCATTGGCAATCACACTCTTGGAGTTGCCAGTCCCTGTCATCTTGGCCTCTACCCTGGGCTCAAGTCACCTCTCCGGCAGACACAGAGACTTGATGTCTCATCCATGGGTGGCTCTGAGTCTGACCTCAGCCATCTCCTTGTTGTAATTTTATTGCCCCATCATGGAGCTGCCTAGTGTGTCAGGGGCTTTCCAGGACAAGACAATATCCTGGTAGATGTGATAGAGAAAGAGGGACTGGATGA